CCTAACTAACTGATGCTGGCTTTTGTCAAAGGTCTCTTTGCAGGTCGCCTATTTTCACTGCTGTTGCACCACCACTTGGGGATTTGCTTGAATGATTTAGAAAAGCTGAGTTTTATGGTAACAGGGCCTCCACTTCTGGTTTTTCTGAGACGGTATTGCATGGACAATCCAGAAACCGCAGTTGTCAGGCCCCTCTTTTCTCCTCTCTCTTAGCGTATGAGGGTAAACTAAAGCTTTAACTGGAGCAAGGAGAAAGAGGTTATTCAGAAGGAAAAGAGCTTTACTCAGTCTGAGAGGAAACACAGTTCTTAATAGCTCAGACTTTCCACCTGAGTGAGAGAAAATTGCACAGGTGCTGTTCAGCGTGCTGGGATCAATCCACTGTGAGCCGAGAGAGACATTTCCTCAGGTGGTCTTGGGAGAGAAGGCAGTAGCTGGAGGGAAAACAATGCCTCTTGATGTTAGCTGAGGTGTGATGTTGAAAAAGACAGACAGCCCTTTTCTGAGGAGAAGAGGCCCTAGACACGCAGAAATGAGGTCTGAAGGACGGGATTTAACACTTGTGCTCCCAGGGAAGGTTAAGAGTGAATAACAGGGGCTTCTTTTCGTGCTCTGTCAGTGGCTGCTGACACTATTGATAGCAGTCATGTTGTGTCTCTTAGTATATAATAGTAGGCCTATTGCTCCACAGAAAGCAGAGGAGCTGATTAAATCCACCCAGCAGTTCAGAGTGGAGGATTTCATTTCCTCCTCAGAGACATTTTATGGGTGAACACAGCTCAGTTTTATTTATATGTAATTTTTGCACTCAAAAGCCTTTTTTTTTTTTTGCGGTACGCGGGCCTCTCACTGTTGTGGCCTCTCCTGTTGCGAAGCACAGGCTCCGGACGCGCAGGCTCAGCGGCCATGGCTCACGGGCGCAGCCGCTCCGTGGCATGTGGGATCTTCCCGGACCGGAGAACGAACCCGTGTCCCCTGCAACGGCAGGCGGACTCTCAACCCCTGCGCCACCAGGGAAGCCCCAAAGCCTTTTTTTTTAACTCCTGCTTGAAAAGTATCTGTCCATCCATGCATCCATCCATTCACCATTGAGTCAGCATGTATTATAATAATAATAATTATTATTACTAAAAGCTAATGTTAGTTGAACTCTTACAAAGTTTCACTAATTTTACAGGTACTTTCTCACCTATTCTTCACACCACCTATGACGTACTTACTGCTATTATTCCATTATACAGATAAGGAAAGTGAGGCATAAGCAGGTAAAGTAGATTTGCTCAGTCTCAGAGTTAGTAGTTGAAGGAGTCAGGACACAAACCCTAATTTTGTGGGTCCAAGAGCCTTTTCCAGTGGCAACTGAAGTCAAATCCTATCGGTTCATAAGAGCCAACTGTTAAATATCCAGCAATGTTGAGCACCCGTTGCCAAATGCAGCCATTACTGAAAGTTAAATTACACAAACTTTTGACTAAATAAATTGCCATAAAACAAAGGTAATAAAAACTCTAACTCATCACTTCCTAATTATTTTAGTACATTCTACTTTATCCCTGCTCTTGAAGTCATTTTTGTATATTAAATCTCTACGGTGGAAATACTGTGTAATGGTGTGTTACGGCATATCTTTTTGCAACTCTGCATTCAGTGACATCACATAGGTAGATTGAAATTGGCGATGGTTGGCTATTTACACCAGGGAAATAAGCAAAAGCTACAAATCAGGGGGTTAAAACCAGTTGTTAAACACCAGTGCACCAGTGGCCCTTTCTCTTTAGAACTGTGACACATACCTCCATATAATGCCATGATATTATGTACTAGGCGTTATGCTGGATGCAGAGGATACAAAGTTGAATCAGTCACAGTAGAGGGAAGGAAGAGAAAATCTCATCCTCCACAATTAAAAGATTGTGGAGGCTGCTTAATTCCAGTTTGAAATGTCAGGTCAAATAAATTGTCCAGGTACGGTTTTATGTATGGTGAAATAGGCCTAAGGTAGCCAGGAAAAATATAATCTAGGCTTTAACTTAAGTTTTCTCAGTCTCTCTTCACTTTTATTGTAGAGAACACAAAAGGAATCAACCGTACCATGAGGTGGACCCATTTCAGGTACAGTGTACCCTGAATTTGAATGAGTCCCATCTTGTATCTTTGAAATATATGGCTTTTTGACCAAGAGAAATACCATTCCTTGTCTTGAACCCTTTTGTTTAAGAACCAACTAACTCATCATTAAACCAGATGGATGCTTCGTACAGTCAGGAAAATGAATCCTCTCAGGGACAGTTAAAGCCCATTGATATGGTAATTTCCCCACCGGATATCTTTCTAATAGCATGTCACACCAGCTTGGACAGTCTGGTCAGCCAGATTCATTCTCAGTGACCCTGTGGAAATGGATGTACAGAAGGGTAGAAAGCCAGAGATGAGGTTAAGAGTAGGGCAATCAAGACACATGGGTATAGCCCCAGCTCTGCCATTTCCCGACAAGTCATTTCCCCTTTCTGCGCTTCTACGGTCCTGTTTATAAAACGGAGTTAGATTATCAACATTTTTTCAAGTGTAGCCTTCATAAGCATCACCAGTTGAGCTAATTAATATTCGGGTTCTCAGATCCCACCTGCATATCGTTAGCTCATTAGCTCTTGGGCACGCCCAGCAATTTGCACTTTAAGCTAGCACCTGAGTTAATTCTCTTCCCAGTGGTCTGCTCTGTCACACATCCAGATCACTAGACTAGGTGATCTCTATTCCTGCCTGAATCTGCTGCAGTGTTGAGGTTAAAAGCAATACATTTTCAACGTTAGTGAATTGCTTTTTGATTGTAAATAGCAGTCTTAAATGTCACTTGAAATGTACACTTAAGGAAGAGACATTTTGCCTTGTATTACCTACCGGTTTACTTCTGAGTCTCACCTGTTATTTCCCAAATTTGATAAAAGTCATCTGTATCCTTTCATCTTTTTTATTTCTGATAGGCTTTAGTGTGTATGTTTATGCTATCTGGGTGATGGAAAAATTTAATTGCTAGTTGTAGTGGCTAAGAAGCATTCCAATAATGGATTTCCTGAAAGGGAGAAAAATATAAAGCTATCACCATGTGTTTGCTGGGAATGATTCTGAAAGCAGTTGGAAAGTGACCAAAATCTGAATTATTGTACTATTGAATTCAAGTCAGTATTGTAGGAAACAGTGTGTGTATGTCAATCCCAATTCCCAATTTTTCCGTTCCCCCTACCTTTCCTCTTCGCTAACCATAAGTTTGTTTTCTGCGTCTGTGTGTCTAACAGCTTTCTTTTGGTTACTTGAAACCAAACTAATCCTAACTGATTCACTATACAACTGGCCCAAATGTAAATTGGGCATGTAAATTCTCTAAGTTACATGGCTTTCGTTTTAGGGTTTTTTTAATGTATGCAAAAGGAAGGTATAAATTTAAAAAAAGCTTTAATTCTCTCAAGCAGTAATACAGTTTTTAGAATATATAAGCATATATAAGAAAAGAAAGGAAGAAACTGGTAATAGTGTTTTCCTTGAAGAATGGAGAATTAGAGTTAGGAGGGAGACAGTTTTCACTGTAGATCCTTTTGTACTATTTGTGTTTTTTACTTTTATTATGTATACATTTTACCTACTGAAAATCCCAATTACATGATTCTACAAAGTTACTTTCTTTGACAAGCAATAGCATGTTTTTAATTTATATACCAAGTACATCTTTTCAATTTACTACTTGGTAGCATTATGACACAGTGAATAAATGCTAAAGTGTATTTTTCCATTTGTTAAGATTCATTTTCCCCCCAACTATGCTATAACAATGACAATGACATAAACATTTAAATTAATCTTCAGATGCATCAAAATATACCATATGCTTTATTCATGCTTTCTGAAGTTTGTAGACAATGTGTCTCCTCCCTCATTTCCAGAGTATTAATTTATCAAGATGCCATCTGTTCCATTCCTCTAATCCTCAGCTCACCCATTTTGAAGATGAGACATCTCAAAGTAAATGTGACATTCAAATTCTGGACCTAGGGGTGGCTTTTGTAATTCTATTTCATTGCTTCTTCTAGCCTCAGGGATGGGTTATGCCATTTCATTTGATTTCCCACTGTCCCTACCTCATCTTATTACTTGGTTTTTGGCAAACAGAGCTTATTGAAATGACTGAAGAGAAACTTCTGCTCAGAGGAACAGAAAAACAATATCTAGAAATGAGATCTATAAAGATGAATATTAATTGAGTATATTTTGATCCTCCTGTATTTTATTTTCTTTATCTTCATGGAATTACCTACCGGGGTCAGAACCAGGTGGGCTCGAGAGGCTTGTCCCTTGGCCCAGCTATTAAGTTTCTGCCCCCTTCTCCTTCAGGTGCTGATTACAATATCATTTGTACTTTCGATCTGAACAGTAGAATTGTAAAGACCCTTTTAGGATTCAAGGATCTAGGGGGTACTTTCCTGGTGGCCCAGTGGCTAAGACTCCGTGCTCCCAATGCAGGGGGCCTGGGTTCGATCCCTGGTCTGGGAACTAGATCCCACATGCATGCCACAACGAAGATCCCGCATGCCCCAACTGAGACCTCATGCAGCCGAATAAATAAATAAATATTTGAAAAACGAAACAAAACAAAAAGGATCTAGGGGTACTTTGCCAGTCGAGACCCAGTGTTGTAACTTTACTCCCAAGGTGGTACAGAATCAACTAAATAGCACTAAGGATAAGAAGACTATAATTAATAACAGCTAATATTATTTAGTAGCCCATGTCAGATATTTTACTAAATGTTTAATACTCATTTAATTCTTTCAATATCACTTTTAAGCAAGTACACTTATTATTCCCATCATACAGATGATAAAAAGGAGGCACGCTAGCCCCAGTTGTATAAGTTGTCCAAGCTGTCCAAGGTCCCACATGGAAAAAATGGTAGCCCAGGTTTTTGAACCCTGGTAGCCTGATCCCAAAACCTGTGACCACAGCTCAAACCAATAGATAAGGGTGAAAGCGGGCTCAAGCACAGGCACAAAGATAGATTAGAGGAGGGCATGATTAATTTTATCTGGAGGGACCAGAGAGGCTTCCTAGAGGAGGTGATGTAATAAGTGGGTTTTGAAAGGTGAATGGGTGTTTATCAGGCAACCACAAACTTCATGTGCCCAAAACAAAGACGCAATTTTACTCACTGACCTCTAAAATTTAACTTCAAACTATCATAGCATATATGTGCAAACCAAAGGATAAGATGCTAGAAGTAAAAATAAATTTCAACATTGAAACAACTTATAGTGCCTTCCTAAAAGGATTAACCCTCTTCAGTCCTTAGGGATGTACTTAGACATTAGAAGATGCATAACAATGTTTTGCCAAACACACAACATCACAGAGAAATGCTAGTTCTTATTATGTAATTTTATATGGCACGTTGATTGCGTTATTGGCCTCAATTTTTTTAACCCTCTCTTGTAGCCTCAACTTTTGCCACTTGACTGCAATTCCTTTCACCAAAGAGGCAGAATCTACTTCCTCACCCTGGAGCCTGGGCTGTCTTAGGTACTTGCTTTAGCCATGGGAATGTTAGCAGACAGGACACAACAGATGCTTAAAAAGGCACTTGAAAAAAAAAAGGGGGAAATATAAGACGTATTTTGAAAAAAATGATGAGGGAATAAAAAGCACTTGGGCATTTTTGCTTGTGCTTGCTCTTCTCCCATCCGGAGACCATGCCTAGGATAGCCTGGAGGACAAAAATCATTTGGAGCAGAGCAGAGCCCCTGGCCCCTTTGTTTCAGCCAAGGCTACCCTGAGGTAGCCCACAGTCAGCTGACCTTAGACATGTGAATGAGATTGAGTCCAGCTCAGATCAGCCAAGCCCAGCCTGATCGACGGTACCCTGCAGACTCAGGAGTTAAATCAATGCTTCTTATTGTAGGCTGCTGAGTTTCCATCTGAATTTTCTCTGTCTATAGATAGTTTGAGGGTTACAGTAACTGACCTTGCAGTTACCCCAGGGGAAAACATGAAATATCCTACTACTCTCAGGGAAGTGATGTTGCTATGTCAAATTCACCTAGTTATGTAGCATCACCATGGCAAACTGATAACTGATACAGTGTATAAGACCATTTCATAACAGCAGCAACACGGATAACTCCTGGAAGTCAGTCTTCTATTTATTTTATGTTCCAAATAAAAGCGGAAGCAACAGGCATATGGTACATACGTTTTAGACAAAAAACCCAACAGCAATCTGGCTTCTTTGACAGTAGTAGAATATTTCATGCTTTTCCCTGGGGAACTGCAGGGTGAGCTATGTAACCCATCACTTGTCAAGTAAAATCACGAACTATTTTTACACAGGAATAGCCAGCAGCTAACTTAAATGCCTTTTGGAACCAATAGGTAGAAAGAGGTGGGTATGTTATAATTCAGGGTTTGTTTTTTTTTCATTGTTCTTTAAGGAGTTTTAAACCAAAGTTATTTTTGAAAAAGCCTTTAAACTTCAGACAGGGAGGAATTGAAATTACAATATTAGGAACGTTCTTGAATGTTTTGTAGTCCAAGTTTTTCAGATGCCTTTGCGTATGGGAAGAGATGAACCAACATTAATTTCAAGAACATATTATTTCACTCGTTCCTAATTGTAATTCTATACATGCTCAACATAGAAAATGGGGAAAATAAAAGAAAGCAAGTAAAAATGTTTCCATCATTAAAATACAGTCATTGTCAATCATTGGTATTTTAGATGTATTTTTATCGTATTTTATTTTAATAATGGTAGCACACTTTCTGGCTCAGTGCTGGGAATTTTACATTCATTTCTTCCTTTAACTGTCACAACCCAGTGAGTTGATATTACCTCCATTTTTTCAGGTAAGGAAATTGAGAATATAATGAGAGGAATGTGGCTGACATATTAGCCCCCCCTGCTGATATACAAATTCAGCACTCCTGTTCAGGAGGCCCGCAGTTATTTTTCCTTTATTTAACCTTTAATTATGGAAAAATCAAACATATATAAAAGTAGAGCAAAAAGTCTCTATACACCCATCACCTAGCTTCAGCAATTATCAGTGCACATCAGTCTTGTTTCATTAACTGCACCCACTTTTTGCTCATGTCTTTTGGCTCCAGGTTTCCATTTGGACTTCTCTGTCTATAGATCACTTGAGGTTAACTCACCCTGCAGATCCTCAAGGGCAAACTTGAAATAGTCCCATACTTTTAAAGAGGCAAGTTTGCTCTGTTAATTTTGCTGAAGAAAGAAAATTTGCCTGGTGCCTGTTATAGTGGGCTTGGCCCTGGTTACAGGGAAGCACAAGATCCCAGGTAGCTAAACATATAGACCCTGTCCTGAGATGTACACCCCTACCCACACAATAGGAAGGAACAGGATGCTACACAGTTTGCAAAGCACCGACCTAAGTTTTATCATAAGTGATGGAACGTCCCTCTTTGAGAAAATTGCTCTGCTTTGGGCATTGTTTCTCTGGCTCCCAGAGAAAGCCTTCGAAATGTCAAACTGTCCTTCCCACCTAAAGTCCAGGCCCTTCTTCACCAGTTGGCCTGGCATGCTTGGCTGTGCCACCATCATTGACCCTGAAATGTATAAGTGGTTAATATTCATGAGGACTTCTACCACTGGAGTCTATAGAGGCATATGGAAACCACAGCCTCTGTTCTCAGCAAGTTTGCACCAAAGCATCTGAGTCTATTTACTCACCATTTCCTGATGTTTTGACATTTCCTTGATGATTTGCCTCATGAATGAATGCCTCATGACACATTTGAGATCGGAAGTGACATCCCAGTGAGCCAAAGGTTGGCTTCTCCTGTTGCCATGGGCCATCCCCGCTCATTTTTGCACAGAATAAATGTTGCACTCGAGGCAAAATAAAAGAGGTGGCTGTACTTAATGTCTTCAATTTCTGTCTCTTATGCCTGGTCTCTGTAGAAGAGAAAGGAAAACAGAATGGCCACAGAGCTCTACAGCAATTACTTTGGTATGATAACATTCGTCGCTCCAGTATTGTGAAATAAGAATGAAGACATTATTATTATCATACTTTTTGTGTGTGTGTGTGTGGTACATGGGCCTCTCACTGTTGTGGCCTCTCCCGTTGCGGAGCACAGGCTCCGGACGTGCAGGCCCAGCGGCCATGGCTCATGGGCCCAGCCGCTCCGCGGCATGTGGGATCTTCCCGGACCGGGGCACGAACCCGTGTCTCCTGCATCGGCAGGAGGACTCTCAACCACTGCGTCACCAGGGAAGCCCCTATCATACTTTTTTTGTGATTTGAAAAGTAAAATGTGTTCACTGTCAATACAATGCAAAAAATGTAAAAAGTATAAAATCTGAAAAGCAAATCTACCTCTCTCAACTCACTCCCAGCCCTATTTGCTTACTTCTCCTCCTTCAAAGTGACTGCTGTTCATTTGGTATGCATATTTCTAGGCATTTTTCAATGCTTTGATATATATATATATATATATCAAAGTATATATATATATACACTGTAAATATATATATATATATATACACATAGTGTAAAGGAAACATATATGAACACATCCACTCACATATGTATGCCGTTCTTTTTGCATACTGTATTAAATCTAAGATGCCACTGATTATACAATCTGTCGTTATTGTATATAACACCATCAAGACTGTTGCCTGGCCAGTAGCAACTGTAAGACACCATCCGTTATAAGACATAATGATGTGAAAATGTGAAAAATGCACATTTTAAAATCAATGAAATATGGCAACGTTTTGCATTTTATTTTTTCAATTAATAGTGAAGCACAGTTATAGTCTCACGTCAGTGCAAATGGATCCACTTCTCTTTAAATGGTTGCATATTATAACATAGTTAACTCTCCCACAATTTTTTGAACATTTACTGAATATTTCCCACATAGTGCTAAACATTTAGATTGCTTCCAAACTTACTATTAAAAAATAACACTGGATGAATATACGTCAGCATAAACCTTTGCATACTTATATGAACATTTTATAGAACATATTCCTAGTAGTATAACTGCTGGGTCAGAAGTTATAAGCCAGTAAAATGTTTACAGGTACTGAGAAAATAGAATCTGGTGATCTGAATGCCTGTTTTCCACTGGAGAACACTGGTTCTGAGGACCCAAGTGCCTCACTCAGGCTCATGTGGTTGCTAAGAGACGGAAGAGTTTGCCAATTGTTTTTGCACTAGGACAGTACTCTCAAGCCCACACTCTCCCTCCTTTGTCTTTTCTACTATGGATTCATCTTTGACAGAACATAAAATGATCAGTAAGTTTAACTAGTAGGCATTTCAGTCCTTGGAGAGAGGCATTCTGTTTTTTTCAAGGCTCTGAGAGTGACCTTTATGGGAACAGCTGTGCAGTTTGTGGGCATTTAATGACCTGTGATGGCAAAGACACCTAAATTATTTGTACATGCTTTTGAGCAATCAGATTCAGAGCTGATTGGTCCAGGTCAGTAAAAGCTGTTTCCATTTTGTGGGACGAAAGGAAAAGAAGGCGTTGGGGGATTCTTGGTTTTGTGGAATGGTGTGATGACTTGTGAATTGCATTGAATTAGACCGTCCAGATTTGGTGAACTGTTCCAATTTTGTAGTCCTTAAAACGTATCCTCCTCAGCTTTTCACATTCCTCTCTCCACTCATCAGGAAGAATAAACAGTGTGGACCTGGTCACATCAAACCAAGCAAATTTCTGCTGTAATTACACTCAGGCAACGTTGAATGGAAATAAAAGTTTATTTGAAAACTCATATAATTATTCTGGTTGATAGTCAACACTATGCAAGTCTCTTAAAGTGGTGCTTCTCAAATGTTATGAGCATATGAATCCCTGGGGCTCTTATTAATTCTAGAATTTAGATTCTAATTTAGCAGGCCTGGGCTGGGGCTCACACTGCATTTCTGGCCCAGGTGATGCCTGTGCTGCCAGTCCACAGACACTACTTTTGAGGAACAAGGTCCTGGACGAGCAGTCAGCAAACTAGAGCCAGTGGGCCAAATCCGGCCCTCTACCAGTTCGGTAAATAAACGTTTATTGAAGCACAGCCACGCCCATTTGCTCATGTGTTGTCTATGGCTGCTTTCCCACTGCAATGGCAGGGCCAAGAGACCTTACGGCCTGCAAAGCCTGAAATATTTACTGTCTGGCCTTTTACAGAAAAACTTTGCTGCCACCACCCTATACGATTCCTCTGATACTGAATACTTGGTCCTCAGGAAATTATTAAATGATCTGTTTAATTAGGCACTAAACAATGTGCTAAAAGGATACAGTCATGAACAAGATACAGTCCCTATTTCCATGGAGCTTATATTTATTTTCTTCCTCAATATGTGAGCAAGTGACTACATTCTCTAAGGCTCAGTTTTCTCATCTATAAAATGGGGATAAAAATGCCTAATGCTTAGGGTTGACGTAAGCAGAGCGACAGGTACATTGTACATACTCAGAAAAGGTTAACTATTATTGTATTCTTTTTATTATTTTTCTTACTCTCCAGATTTCTGGACAATGAACATCTTCCTTACTGTGTGTGTGTGTGTGTGTGTGTGTGTGTGTGTGTGTGTGTGTGTGTGTGTGTGTGTGTGTGTGTGTGTGTGTTTCCTTCCAGGCTATTCAGAAAGAACTGGCCCTGAAAGTGACTTTTTCTTAAACTTTCAAAGAAAGGTTTATCATTTCAATCATAGCTTCTGACATGGAAACCTCTCTTTGATTCTGAGACCAAAGCAGCAACAGTGTCCTTGGTTCCCAGAAGGAGCCTTTCTCTGTTTCTCTAGTTGCTGAATTTGCCATCAATGAGGTGCTAATGGTGGCATGGCCCCTGCTGGGAAAGGGTGGAGGAAACAGCAGGAGGGCTGTGCCCTCTCAGTGAGAAGGACAGCCTTTGATGGGATTAGCTAACAACCCCCTGTGGGAGCCACAGACAGCTAAGAGCTAAGCTGAAATTTTAATTTGTTATTTATTTGATTTCAAAGAAAGCCTGGATGAACATTGAAAATCTGCATGCATGTTTATGTTATGTTGTGTGTCAACTGAGTATTTAATAGATTATAAATTCTTCATGTTCGGGAATGACACATGCCTTAATTTTGTTTCCTAAGACACAGATCTCGAAGCAAAGATTCGAGTGTCAGTAGTTTATTAGGGGTTGAGGAAATCAGTAGAGCAGCGAGGAAACAAGAGAGGGAAGAGAAGGCAGTGACATCTTGTGTTGTCATGACGTAGGTAGCATCTACCTACCACTAGAGAGCTCCTGGAGTTGAGTCCTGCTGTGGAACTCTGAGGAATCGTGTAGAAAATATGCCTCACATAGACATATATACACTACCAAACGTAAGGTAGATAGCTAGTGGGAAGCAGCCACATAGCACAGGGAGATCAGCTCGGTGCTTTGTGACCGCCTGGATGGGTGGGATACGTAGGGTGGGAGGGAGGGAGACGCAAGAGGGAAGAGATATGGGAACATATATATATATATATATATATATAACGGATTCATTTTGTTGTAAAGCAGAAACTAACACACCATTGTAAAGCAATTATACTCCAATAAAGATGTTAAAACATATTCACAAAATAAAAAGAAAAGAAAAGAAAATGTGCCTCAGAAGGATCCCACTGAGAACTGTGGGTACTGGTGACTTTATACACCAACTACCATCACTCAGTCATTGGTCCAGGGTTCCCATAGGGGTGTCTGTTAATTTTAGGTATTTCTGACTAAAGAGAGGCCACGACTGTCCACTGGAACCAGGCAGGGGACTGAGTGGTGAGGCCCACATGGTAGACACAGAGCACTGAGACCCTCTGGATGGCTTAGCTGTTTCTACTTCCCATTCCTGCAGTGTGCACAAACTAGGTGCTTATTAACCATTAACTGTTGTATTCTGGATGAATCTAGACATAAAAACCAAACTGGGGGCTGGGGGAGGGGAAGAACAGGGTTAAAACTGCTTAAGTGAATTTAATCACTTGTGGGAAAGTGAATGACAGAGAATGCTTCATTCTATAAAGATTCTGAAGACAAAGAATAAAGTTACCTTGATGTTGATGGGGTTCTGGACATGCCACCCCCAAATATGGTACCTTGGCCTATGGAATATTATAAGATGAAGGAGTTTGAGAAAATGGCAGCAGTAGGAAGGTCACTCTGACCTTCCCCCTCCTGAAGTAGGTCATAAAACACTTCCATGAGGGATGCCCCCCTACCCCCGAAGGAAATGAGCATTCTCATCTCCTTAGACAAAGGGATGCCAAGAAGAATCAGAACAGGTCTTGCTAAGTTTCGCCCAGGTTACTCCACTTACTTCTTACTCTCTGACCTATCGTATTTCTCCACAATGGTCCACTCTTCATAAAACCTAGCAGAAAGATCTCAGGTTGAACTGTTTCTTCAGGTCTTCATTTCATTTTGAAGGCTCCCATGTCCATGTAAAACATATAAAATAAACGTGTCTGCATTTTTCCCATCAATCTGTCTTTGTCAGTTTAATTTTCCAACCCACCTAGGAACTCTCAGAAGGTTGTGGAAAGCTTTTTCCTCCCCTCCAATGCTCTAGGTATAAGAAAGAGAAGCTAACAAGCTAATGAAACAAATAAATTGAAGTTCTAATGCCTCACACTTCTCCAAGTCAAGCAAATTTCTCCCCCCACCCCCAGGGAAAATGCCATCCCGGGAGTTTTGTTAGACATTAAAGATGACCGTCAACAGATGATACCAAAAAATGATACAAAAGTGATCAGGGATTGTGTCAGGGACAAGAATTTTAAAGGAGTGTCAAGCATTGGGTTCTCAGGAAGTAGCTGTTGAGACAGAAGTCATCATGCAGGAGGTTTATCTAAGGAGCAACCTTGTGATCAACGCTTGTGGAAGGGAGAGGAATAAAGCAGGATTAAGCAGAGAGAGAAACT